CCTCTGACCTGTGCTCATCATCATGAGTTCACCTTCTGCTCCAGGCTGCTGCCCAACTCCTCAGCTTCTCTTCAGGAGACTCAGATTCAGACAAATAGAACTATCTGTGGCCCCGGTACTTCTACAGATGTTCATGTTCCTTAACCAGCTCCAGGGAAGTGAGTCAAAGGAAACACTTAGTTACTAATGGGAGGACTGAAACTGAGTCCTCAAGCTCTGGCTAATTTCTCACTGTCCTTTGGGGAGCTGCGTGTCCAAGAGCCAGAGGTTCTGAGGTCCCAGGGGATGGTGTCCCTGATGCCATCCGTGACCTGGACTCCTTTTCTCTTGGGCATTGTTCCAGCTGGGACAAAGGATTTTTCAATGTTTTATTTGGAACTGATTCTAAAGATATAGTTGAGTTGTACACATGACATAAAGAATTCCTGAACAGGCATCACCCAGATTCCCCAAATGTTAACATTTTACTATGTTTATCTTCTTTATGTTTGTAGGTGTGTATGCATGTACACTTCAGGCTTAGATTTTTGGCAGATATACCACAGTGCATATTATCAGAAGGCACATGATATCAATTTTTCCAATTACTAGTGTTTTTATCCTTGATCAATTGGCTAGGTTGGTGCCTGCCAGGTTCTCTACTGTAAAGTTCCTATTTTAACCTTGACATTAATAGGTATCATTTTGGTAGACATTTTGAGACTATACAAACATAACTTTTTCTTATTAAAATTTCATCCACTATATTTAACTTCCACTGGTGATTCTTGTGTGACCAAGTTATTGTAAATGTGGTGGCCAAATGCTGATTTTCTAATTCTAGCCTTTCTTCTACATTATTAGTTGTATTTTCCTGTAAGAAACAACTTTCCCTTATTGCCCACTCATTTGTTTTCCATTGATTCATGTATATCATTATGGACTCATGGATTCTTATTTGCTTTCTGAGTTATAATCCATTACCGTTGTTACTCATTTTGAAACTGTAGATGTAGTCATTGCTTACAAGGCTTCTAAATGACTCAGAGAACTCAATTAGGAAGTGTAAATATAAATGATATGCAAGAAGTAAAACATAGATACTAAGAAACTAAAGGAATGACTACCCATAGGAGGTGGGTCAGGAGTGGGACAGAAAGAATGAGGGAACGGTATGTTGATGTATAAAATAAAGATTTCAGTGTATTTATACATATTAAACCCAACAAGTTCAAACTGATACCTCCAATTCTAGTTTCACACCATAACTTTCCAGCCTCTCCTTTACCATATACACAGCGTCTTTTCCCAAGACTGAGGAGCCATTCCATTTTCCGCAATATGTTTAGTTATTTGCTGATTTTTGACATGTTATTTCAGCATCTTCAACTAATACCACTATTAATGACACAGTAACTGCAGCTCAAAACTTTGTTTCCAGTTTTTTTTTATTGTGAGAGTATTTAGACAAAATCTGGGTTCAAGAATAACAGGTTAGTTATTTTATTTTCCCCTTAAGTCTAGTTATGGTATTAATTTTCAGTGTAGTTTGGTTCACTGGTTTTCTTTTATTCTATTTTACTTTATTCACCACCTCTATTGTTTATTTTTTAGTTGGTGATAGGTCACATAGTCAAACCTATACAAATAAATAATCTCATCTCCCCATCTTTTCTCCCCATTCCTACCCACCTCCTGTAGGTAAGCAGTCTCACTGGTTTTTGACTTATTCTTCTTATGTTCCTTTTTCATCAAATAAGCAGATACATGTATATTTTGTTTCTCCTCATTTTTATCCATATAGTAGCATGCTATAGCTTGCTTATTTCCATTTAACAATATATTCTGAAAATCCCTCCATATGAGTCATGATATCTTTGCTATCTTTGCACAGTTGCAAAGTACTCAATGCATTGATGTTCCATTTCTTTTCCTTCTGAGGACCTAGAATAAGACAGTGGTGATGAATGTACCAAATGCCACTGAATTGATACCTGAAATGGTTAAAATGGTCAATTTCATGTTATGCATATTATACCACTATTTTTAAAAAATTAAAAAGTAAGCAAGAAGTAATCTCTATATAAGCACAGAAAAGTCGTAAAATAATGATGTATGATTAATAAGTTCAATCAGTAGAATTAATAACAAAATACATATTTAACCAAAAGGGAGATATAGAAGAGAGAATAATTATGAAAACAATGTCTCAAATAAATAACATATAGCATTATAGAAAATATAAAATCAAATATATCATGATTGCATTTGATGGTAATAGATTAAATTCACCAGAAATATAATAACTGTTGACCTACATAAAAAGAGCAAAATCCGGGCCGGCTGAGTGGCATGTTGGTTAAGAGCTGGCTTGGGACGCCAGAGGGCCCTG